TTCCTCTTCCATCCTGGTAAGGGGATATGTAGATCTTCTACATATCAGGGTCCATGTAGGACCTAATTAAGTCCTCAGCTTTACTGAAGGCGACTGCCAAAACCAGGTGTTATGAAAGCATATTGCCCACAGAAATACATGGACAGGCTGGCAGCTGCCTCAAATAGGCTTTAAGTGTGAGATCAAAGGGACAATGTGGGGATTGAGACCAGTAAGCGCTGCAGGGATGAAGGTGGAATTTCTCTTTTGCAGAAGAGAAGTGAGCATCATTGAAAATTAGAAGCCAGGAAAAAATGAATCCCAGGTTGGACAGAGACCTAAGACTGATTATATTATTTGGATTTTGAGGAATGACTGAACTCTTTTTTACCCCTGAGAAATCTGGGAACTTGAATCACCCCAAGTACTTTGAGCAGCCTCTCTTTTCCATTCAGTAGCAATTTGAAGGGTTTTTTCTTTGAGGAAAAACCTCATCACATAAATTGTGTATCTCTAAAAGTAGATGATTTTATATAACTGTCGAGTTTTACTATTGTTATTTTCATTTCTTCAGGATGAAATTCTTACCAAATGGTTTGCTTGCAAAACTTGTCATTAAACATAGCAGAATAAATAACTATGGATAAGTGACCTTTGTGGTGTTTTGGGTTTGCAGATCCTCTAGAACTTTATTTCATAATTCTTTGAACTGATGAGATATGCCAAGTCTTCCCCCCCAATTTAATTTTCTTGCACTGCCAGTGTATTTGTTACTGGGTGGAACAATGTGTTATTTAAATAATGATTCCTGTCTGAAAGTAATTTCTGCCCTGTTTGTGGAAGAACTGTTCATGCGAAAACAAAACCTGTGGCAGCTTAGGATTTCTATTTGAAATCCTGAATGGAATAAAATGACTGGAAATAAAGCCTCAAAATATTGTGTGTTGTAATTCCTTGTTCTGTTCTAAACATAGAACTCTGAGTTATTAAAGGGTCTAAGTTCTGGCACAAGTAGTTTTCTCCTTCCTTTTAATAATTGCCTGTGTTAACCAGATACGGTGACAACAAACTTTGATCCTTTCAGTGGTAAGATGCATGAATCTCCAGGCTGCATCCAGTCAAAGGGTTTCAGGAACTGGTGAAAAGAAGTTGGTGCTTGCTAAATATACATCGATCTGGTATAAGAATACAAAAATACAAATGCACTTCATGTTGACTCTTATGAAGGAGATTTGGAGTGCTAAACCTGGAAGAGTAATGTTGTGGTTGCCTTCTTATCAATAGTACATTAGAAAGCACCAATACTTTTTCAATAATGAGAACAGAATATGTCAAATAGTATGCAATCCCTGGTGCCAACATGCTTTATATAAATATTTGCAGTAAACTATTTCTTCATGATAGATTGTGTATTATACACATATAAAAATATGAACATGCATATATCAGAATGCTGGAAAAAGTCACGTTTATATAGACTTTAATTTTCCCTGAGACTTTTTTTTTCTTCCTTCCCATCCTGTTTTAGAGCTATCTCTGAAGTATTATCAAAGCAATAAAGGAAATGGCTAAAATTCCACTAAAGTAAGGTAAATATTGTTTTTAAACATTGGATTACAGTAGATCGAATCCAGCCTGCACAGTTATGGATTCAATGCACTACCTCAATTCCCAGAAAGAATGATTGTAAGCTGAAATACAATATTCTGCCAGGAAATCACTAGTTCCGAGTTATTAGATTCCAGCCCTGGTTGAGACTGAGGCAAGGAGACAGCACAGGAAGCACTCAGAGTTCTTCCTAAGTGTGGCTCAACATTTTTTAAATAGCATACTTTCAAAGGTAGTGGAGATGATGGACTGCAGCAACTGAACTGCAGGTGCAAAGAGACCCTCCTGTAAACTGTGATTATTTCTTCTTTTCCTCTTGGAAGTGTGAGCACAAGTACTTAGTTTTGTTCTCTAATGTTTGGAATTCAACTATTTCTATTTCTTGCAGTTTGAAGTAACCATATCTATTTTTTGCATGAGTCCCTGTGTGGGATGCATAATGTTATGTTCTCTTTGAGCAGAGCCCACAAAATTTCAATCTTCACTAAACAACTTCAGCCTAAATCAGAAACATGGACCAAAAAGCCTCTAAGGTTACTGAGGTTGCTGTTTGATGGCGTACAAAATGCTAAGAAGCTTTACAATACTGATTAGGAGGATCATGTTGTCTACGTGCATGAAGTAGATAATTCAAACCTGAAAACAAGCAGTCTATAGTGTATCAGTTATGATTTATTTTCTCTTAAATCAGGAGAATACTGCTATTTTTCTTTTAATTAAGGAACATATTTTGGAGAAAGCATCTGTTTAGTGAAGGCCAAGAAAAACATTCTTTAATGTTGCTCTTTTGTCACGTGGGACCTGCAGTTCAGGTATTTCCTGTTCTTACTTTTTTTCAGTTGTGTTTCCCAGCAGATGACATCTACCCTGTTCATTTTTCAACATAAATCCTTATTGGTTATTCTTGGGACAATGCTGCCAGTTACATTGGACTCCTCGCACAGATCAAATTCTATGCTGGTCAGCCTTAACTAGAATATGACATATGACTGAAAGGCTGTTTACATGGAATTATAATAATTTTATTTCTGTTAAGTGAGAAGTGGGCAGCTATTATACAACCTCATAACACATTTTCTGTTGCAGCAAACATTTGCATTGCTGGTTTTAGTAAGGATAAAGGATTGCATCCACTATGAAGAAATAATCAGATTCTCTTCTATGCTTTGACTACATAGGAAAGAAAAACAATTTTTTTTCTCCCTGTCTATAACAATCAAGTTGGAAGATAGAAGCATGCTCTGGTGTTTAGGTAACTCCAGGTAATGCTGTCAGGGAATGAATAGAGTCCTCTTAATGCTCACTCTTTCTCTTTTAATAACTATCCCTGAAACTGCTCTAATGCTCATTACATGTACACAAATCAGAAGAATCTTAAATAGTATTTACTCTGCTAGTGTCCTGTATTTCAGGCTTCCCAAGAGATTTGCTATCCTTGATGGCGACCTCCAGGCAAGTCTGTGACACTGTTGAGCAGATTGGTATTTTTAAAAAGGGTCATTCAAAGGTTTGGACTAAAATTGCATTTCAGTCCTTCTGGAAGACTGAAATCTTTAAGTAAAGATACCTGGAGTGTAAAGAAGAAATTTGTGAATTCACACAGTCAATTCAGAAGGAAAATATTTTCAAAAACCCAAAAGAATCAGAAATGTACATTTCTGTAATTTCCTTTCCTATTTGTCATCAGTATTATGTTCATGGGGTCCAATAACATTTCACATCACAATAACCATCAATAGGGAAAATGGTAAAATAGTGACACAGATATAGCTCTGTAGAAGAAGAATATATTTCTGACTAGTGCCTATATTTTTTCACTGGAATCTTCATCAGAAATTTTAGATTTAGTGAAGGCAAAATACTTTGCAGAAATTCTAATTTCTGTGAATGCCCATTTCAGAAAAACATGGGAAAAAACCCATAGCTACAATTTTCTTGTTGATCTACTGAGTTTTTAATAAGAACAGCTGGATAAACTTTTTTCTTAAGTTAATATTATGATATTAGAGGTATGAGATGCATCTCTGATGTAATCTTCATTAAATAATCATGTTGTTTTTCTCAGTAATAAAATTCATGCTAAAATATTTGGGCTTGCCAGTCAAAGCAACAGAAAATAAAATAAGGAGCCTACAGAAAAACACAGGACTGTTTCATTTTTCTTGGATCTTGTGGAAGGATATTACTTCTAAAATTGCAGCTCTGCTACCTCATCTGTCAGGTTAATTTCACCAATGTTTTCCATTTCCTTCTGTTGAAAACCATTAAAATGATGGTGTTTAATATGAGGCCTCATTTTAGTGTACTGTTTATTTAAGACAATTGATGCAATGAAATAATTTAGTTCTCTTTTTCAAAAGTTCCAGGATTTTCACTACCTCAGATATAGCCTTCCTAAAGTGACTGGTTAGTTGATTTTGGTTAATATAATAGATATTCTTTAGGTTCATAAATGCCATAGTCTCGTAAATACTCTTAAAACGGGATTGAAGGTTGTAAGCTGTTTATTTTCATTCTATACTCATTTAACACTGGATACTGTCCACCTACTATCACCACCTCATTGAAGTCGATAAGAATTTATTTACCATAAGCATTCTGCTTGTCTGGTCCCTTTATCAAGATTAAGAAAACAGCGGACTGCCCGAACCCGAGTGCCCGGATGGCTTGCCGGACCGAGGGCCGGGAGAAAGCCAGCGTCTCTGGCAGTCGGGGATGTGCAGGAGCTGCCCTGCCAGCCCGGCTTTGGTTTGGCCCGGCTAAAGCAAAAGGTGGTATCTTGTATTCCCTCGGGCTGCTTTCTGTTACGGTAGAAGCAGAAGAACTAGAAGACCTGATTGCTTGAATATTTTTACTGCTTGAATGTCATGTTTTGAGGCCGATGCACTCACCTGCAAGGTAAGAGAGCAGAGAGAACCGCTGCGGGGCTGAGGGGCCTCCCGGGCGGTACCGCTGAGCGGGCAGAAGGATGTCCGTGCGCGTAGGTGTGCCCACCATACATTTTTTAACATGCAGTGGCATTCTCACCCCTTATTTATAACAGCTGTACCCTTTAATTTGAAGAGAAAAATATGTATTTTATCTGGTAGGTCCTGGTAGTGTTTGTTTCTCAACTCCCGACTGCCGCGACGGTCCCGCTCCTGCTGGCCCGTGCCGTGCTTCCCACCCGTGTCCCGGGTCTCGCTGTCCCGGGCTCTCCGCAGCTGCGGACCCGCCTCCGCGGCCGCGGGCTGAGGCGCCGCCGCGGCGGGACAGCAGAGGGCGCCCGCGCACCGCCCGCCGCGGGGTCTGCGGGGCTCCGGGGGGCCCGCGTCAGGAGAACCCCCACAGCCCACGGCAGCCGTGGAACCCCCACAGCCCACAGCAGCCGTGGAGTCCCCACAGCAGCCGTGGAACCCCCGCGGGCCCCACATCCTGGGATCCCCCACAGCCCATACAGCCCCGGGAATCCCCGCTGCTCCACAGGCTCCGCCCCGGGAGCGGGAGGTGCCCCTTGCACGGGTGCCGCTTGCGCGGCCGGCTCCCGGGAATGTTCGGACGTGCCTCCCGTGGAACGCCCCAGGGGTGGCTCTCAGCGCAGCTGGCTCGGAGAGCGCTGTACAAAGTAGCCCGAGCGCCTTTCCTCTGACTGCCCGGCCAAGTAGCAAGTGGGAAGCGCCTGAGGAGAAACCACCTTTCCAGGTCTTCACTCCTGATATAATAGTTTAAAAATATTTCAAGTGTAAATTTCAAAAGGGAGTTTTAAAATATTTCAAGTGTAAATTTCAAAAGGTGGGAGGGAAAAAAAAATGTCCTGTCTATGCACAGGCAGAGATATGCTTTTGCATCAATACATTTATTTAAGTGCATACCTAGACTTTTAAAAATTATACCCATATCAGCCTGAATATGAACAATATATATATATTGGTATTGAGAGGTTTTCCTGTGGATTTGCTATTGCTAAAATATTACTTTATTTAGAGGTTTGCTAGTTTATAGTATAGAGCAAGTCAAAATATGGCATCTTCAAGATCTTGGATCTGAAGTGAAAGAATCTCAAGGGCAGTAACAAATATTCTGTCAAATGCAAGAACTTAACTTTCCAGTACTATGCTTTTCTTTTTAAATACCATTTTCTCTAGCAATGGGCTAGATAACACAGTCATGGGAGACTTTGAAGAAAAAAAACATGTTTTTTAAGCTTTAAAAACATTTGTTTGCTTCCGGGCAGGGTTAGGTCTGACTGGGAATAATGTCTTCCGTTTTGGAAATAGAGATGAGAGGTTTGTTATTGAGACATTAGAGAGAGAGAGAGGGAGATCTTGTGGTCTGAAACAACTTACAGGCCTCTAATTCCGCATCCTCTGAAATATTTACAAGGCAAATAATTTATATGTAATCTGTCTTTACTTAGTGGAGCTCCTCCTGATCTATACACTGCAGTAGAAATCATAAACAGATATTCCACATCTGTTTCTGGTTTTGAACATGGGAAAAAAGAAATCGAAGCCTCAGTCCATACCTTTTAATATTCTAAATGAGAAATATCTCCAGTAAGATGAGTTGCTTGCTGTGGAGTGGATATGTGTTAGTAAATTAATTAGCACCCTTTGCACCCTTTGCAGACACTTTTTAAATTGCACAGCACAAGAAGTACAGAGCTACCGGTTACTTCAAAGTACCTCTACTTAGCAGTGCTTTTCTGACTTTCCACAGTTTTAAAACCCATGTTTTATTTGTGGTTCTGTCTCAGATGCAGTAAAGCTGCAGCACTGGCATTGAGGCATACCATAGCAGGGTTTGTGGCCTTTTCCAATGACTAGGTTATATCATGGTTATAGTTCTAGATGTTAATATATAGAATAAATGATAGGCCCTGAAGTAAAGCCCTATAAACACTGAGCATTGAGTGGATGATGACATCGTAATTAACCAGAAGGGCAAGGTTCCAGAGCTTGCTGTTGTCACCAGAGCCTTCTGTAATTGCAGCTTTGTTCATGGTATCTTCCTGTTTCACTTTTTTCTATTTATAGTTCAGAGAACCAGTTAACATTTTTAGTAGAAAACAGTTTTCTGGTAGAGGAATAAAATCTGACAGCTAAAAATTGTAACTATCAGCATTGGTAGTTTACAGAGTCCAAATTGTTATCTGCATCAAATGTACTTGACTGAGTATGACAGTTCTGTCAACAGGAGATTAATGCCTAGCAGAGGTTTTTTGTGTCAATCCTACTTATTCTTACACAGAAGCCAAGGGTGGCAGAGAAGGTAATTCAGGGCTTTTTAGTTGTCTCAAAAGCTGAACAATTTTCTTTGCAAAAAGGTGATGACTGTATTTGGAAAGTATTTCAGATGTAGTATGCTCCCTGCCTCAAGCACAGTAAGAACTGTGTTCATTGACTGCATAAAATGGAAAACGGAGATGGGGCATATCTGAACTGGTGGATTTGCTGAGTTGAAAGAGTAATTTTGGGACTTTGGGCCTCTCAGAGCAGTTCTGTTGCTGGATGTTGGCTCCATGCACCTCGTCTTTAAGAAGCCTGTCCAAACAACTGCGTTTGTGATGAAGGCACTTTCAGAGGTACTAAATAATTACCTGTGAAATAAGGGGTAAGTAATGAGGTCAAATCATGTCATATCCATATCACACATTATACATATATATGTATTTAACTTCAAGATAGGATTTGTGTCGGAATTCAGACAAAAGGAATCAGTGAATGCAATCACAGAATGCCCTGATTTGGAAAGGATCCACATGATAACTGAGTCCAGCTTCTGGCCCTGTACAGAGGAACCCCAAGAATCACACCATGTGCCTGAGAGCATTCTCCAAATGCTTCCTCAACTCTGTCAGGCTGGTGCTGTGATCATTTCCGTCAGGGCCTGTTCCAGTGCCCAGCCACCCTCTGGGTGAAGAACTTTGGCCTAATATCCAATCTAAATCTCTGCTGACACAGTTTCATGACATTTCCTCAAATCTTACGGGGTTTATGACTTTTACAAATTTGTATTTTAATTTTATTCTTTATGACTTCTAGCTGTTACATGTCTTTCTGTAATTCAGTTATTTGTTCAATGCTTCTAAATGAAGTTGCTAACTTTAGAGGGAACTTCGTAGAAAATTTATGATTTTTTAAAAACTTTTGACCTTTTCCTATCCTTTCAAACTACAAGAAACACATTGAATGCTCTGTAGGGGTATTCTTAATTTATTACTTGTTTTTAAAAACTTTTAGCAACAAAATTTGTGAGCAGGTGTGACACTGGATCTTCTCAGGAGGTTTGTGCTTAGTACCTTTGAATATCAGAATGTAGTGAAGACTCAGGTTTTGTAATCCAGTGGTTCTTGAAGTGGACTTGTGTGGATCATCTCTAAAAATAATTATGTACTTTTGGAAATACTGCTGATTCCAGTGCCATATTCCTCATATAAATCCAGGGCACTCCACCATAGTTTGTAATCGTAGCAATAGTGGCAATAACTTTTGAAGCAGACATACTCTTAGAGTTGTTTTACCACAGCAAATTAAACAAAACAATGTTCCTTATCCATCTACATCCACATTACATGGCACAAAGGAGCCTTTTAAATGATAAATACATATAAAAGGAATAACAAAATATCCAAGGTTTAGCAAGCAGATTATTTGATTAACTCTGCTATATTCGTTCATGCATTCATTGCCATGTATTGTAAAGATTGATTCAAACCATGATCCCCTGTCTGATCCCATTATACCAGCCAGTGAGATATGGACCCCGAATGTGGTGTCTGTTTTTCTTCTGTCTTCAAAATTTGTGCCAATGTACTGTTTGTTGCAGGAAAGCACATATTCCAATTGTCTTGTTCAAACACCAAGCACCATGCCAAAACCAGGGCCATCCTAAGGAACTCCCCTTCTCCTCAGGCTTTAGTGGTTTGTATTAAATGAAATCTGGATTCACAGCTATTCCACTGAGGTTTTTCAAAACCTTTCAAAATCATCTCTTGCCATTTTTGCTTTTGTTGACCTGATGCTCTAAAACTATAGAGTTTGGCAGGGCTCTTACTATTTAAATTAGTGTCTAAATTATCACAGTACCATGCCTTTCTAAAGTATAGTATTATAATTACGGTACAAGATTACATTAATCTGCGATTTATTATGAACAAATAGTAAACGTTGTATCACTTTGTGATGTATGGGTGACTGCATTTCTCTGTTCTGCAAAATACCATGCCATTGTTACTGGTATTTTCGGTGGTGCACAGAAAATCAACTTGTCCTTCATTCATTAATTTAATCCATTCACTGTAATTTGAGGCAGCAGTCCCAACCTAAAAAAAAAGCCCCTAATGTTGCAAAACGTTGTTTTAATGTTAAGTTTCATTCCCATGTAGTTGATTACACGTGAAAAAAAGTAGTAGTATAAACATGCAACACAGGATATTTGTGGTTTTTTTTCAACACACCTGCTGCTGATTTACCCCATCCAAGTTTTGTGGGTTTGGCATGATAAAGCAGTATCAAATTTGTGTAAACTGCTTTGATAAGTAAGCCACAAGGTCTTGTGGCAATAGCCATATTTCTTTCTGCAGACATTGAGGCAGAGTGCTGGATGTGACCAGAAGAGAGAGTGATTTCAAGGAAATCTTCAACATGCAAGTGAATCACTGATAAAAACTCCTGTTTTGTTTAATCCTGTTGTGTAAATGTAAAGATCTGAGTTGCTACTGTACAGAATCTCAAAACACTGAATCACCTGCCACAGAGCTCCCTCCTCTGTCTGATATTTAGCAGTATCTCATTATCAGGCTGCAGATTTGGTGAAATGTGGGTTCTTTCTTTGCTTATTTGTAGTGACAGCTGGAGTGGAAGTGTTCTTACCTTGTGAAGTCCTACTGGAGGCCAGCATAATCCTCTTAATCCAAGGAGGGCTGTGTCTCCCCTGTGTTACATCTGCTTATTTTACAGGATTAAGCCTTATGAGTGTTGTTGGGAGGTTTTTTTAAGAAAGGACTTCATTTTAGAAACAAAAGTATTTTGTTTCTTTGATGAATCAAAGAGATGTCTTACCTTACGAAAATGAGTACAAGACAATTCAATTTATTATCTCCAAAAATATTGCAGAATAAAAGTTATTTCATTTATTATACAATTGTCTCTGGCTATCACCATGATACCATGACTTCATTTTACACATTGATAAAAAATTCATGTGATTTTGAAGAAAGCAATTATTTCTATGATTCATCTTTAAAATTCATACCTCTTGATCAATCTGTTAAAACTAATACTTTACACTTTGAGTTTCATCTTCTCTGTACTGGGAAAATGAGAGTAGATATGGTTTATGATAACCAGAGAGATGAAATCTGTGAAGTGATTCACTGTGAAGTGATTCCCCAAATTTGCGTGGAATTTAATTGGACGGGTAGGGGTTATGATACTTAAGAGGCTGAGTGCTTGAAGGCTAATGTTCACTAGACAACAAAATATCCTCTTTGTTGAAGATGTTTTCCCAGAATTCTCATATTTTTCTGATTTAAAGAAAGACTTCTATTTAATCTAGTGGTGTTAGTGTTAAATTAACTAAATTTTCTTGGTATAAAATAATGATTAAATAAGGGATTGGGGTGTTTCTCTACTGATTAGGAAATACTTCCCCCTTCACCCCAACTAAATAAATATGTAAATACATTTCTTAAGAGAGAA